CCTGGATCCAAACAACCCCAAATTCTGGAAAAGTTCTGAGTCATCTCTGATTCCCTGCCCAAACTCCACTGTGATCTTCAGCTTTACCATAAGCCTTTCTTGTAAGCCAGGAGATCCACCTCCAGCGTAAACTCTACAGCCAGTGGGAGGACATTCTTTAAACCAGTATATCTGAGGGCTGCAGCAACAGGACAGAGATCCTGGGTCATACTGAAAACAGTCCTGCTGCCACTTCACTCCTCTGGCAGGAGGTCTGAAATTTAACAGGTGAGTCACACCAGCTTGCACAAGGTGACTCTTTGAAATAGCAATGATAAGAGGTCCGAGAAGAGTATGTGGAGTTCTTATTTATATAGTAACTTCCCAGCTTATGATCATTGGCTTCTAACATTAGCTTAAGGAGAAAACAGTGGAGGTTCTTAAAGAAGGGAGAGAAGTGAGAGTGGGATGGGATGGTGGTTTAAACTATGAAGATCCCTTCACTGGATTAAATACAAGCAGCAGCGAATCTACTGTGAGCAAAGGAAATTGCCCACGTTCATGTTGACGTGAAAACACCCGTCGAGAAGCAGCAAGTTGGCACAGCCTGAGCCCATAGAAATACGGCATAGAAAATTCCTTTATGTGGTGACAACAGAAATACTGAAGTAGGCAAGAAACAATAGCCATTCAGTGAAAATAGCAAACTGCCTTTCTCTGTTCGGCAAGTGTCGACTGCATGGTGCATGCTACCACAATGTCATGAATAACACTACTAAGCACCCATCCCTATGGTTACATAGTCTTTACCATGTTAACTGTAAATACAAGGGGCCTGCCTTTCAGAGGTGCCGAGCACCTTACAGCTCCCATGAAAAATGAGGCCACTGGATTGTTAAAGGGCTTTTATGGTGTGTGCCTCATAAATATTCATTGCTGACTGAAAATTGGACATAAAGGAAGCAGATAACAAGCTCCTTGTATCTAGATAAATGTTCAAGCCGGCCTTCAGTCTGCCTCCACTTGTGTATGCCCAGAATCAGGGAGTCAAAATGGTGGTTATTTTGGGTTGATTCAGGTTCAGTGTGTTCAGGTTTAGGTCTGATTTTTTTTTTATAAATGGCTCGGTTACCAGTTTCAACCGGTTCAGATCAAATTTCAATCTCAGCGGAAGTAAACTCAAGGAGAGTTGAAACTTAAAATTGAAACTATTTTGCTTTTTGGCCATTTATTTATGAACTTTAACTTTACATGAGTTTTCCTAGTGCTTCTGTGTTGTCAAATAAACATAATTATTTTTTTCTATGAACAGTTTGTTTGAGAAAACTAAAATAACATTTTCTAATGTTTGCTCTGTGAGAGGATAAATCTGAATTTGGTGCATGGGCTCCTGGGTCAAGTGGAGGAACTGGAGGGAGGAGCTGTCCCCGGGGCTGGCGGTGGGTGGGAGGAGGGAATCTAAGGGGGAGAAGGGTTGGGGAGCTGGGCTGGACAAGTTATTGTTAACTTCTGGGACCAGGAAGCATTCCACCGCTTCTGTCCTCAGGAGGGTGTCTCAGAGATGGTCCATCTATCTCTGGGTCATCCTGCTGCTTCATGTGGGGTGCAAGCAGCTCCTAAGCTTCCTCTCTCCCTCCCTACTCTTGTGGCTGGCCTTGTTTTCTTCACATTCTCATCTCAGTATACCGGGGCAGGCCTCTCTGGTAGCCAGCTCGTAACTATTTGTTATTTTTTTGTCTTGTTGAAAATAAGATCACCGTAGTGTTCTAAAATATTGCGCTTAAAAATGCTGAACCTTTATTTGAAGCGGTAACCCAACTTTTTTTTCCCCCAGTTCAGTTCCAGTTGAGGTTCAGCAAGTAGGACAAAAGTAGAGTTCAGGATCGGTACTGGTTTAAGCCGGTTCGGTTTTGGTTCGACTCCCTGCCCAGAATTAAACACGTCTGTACCTGTGCCTGCACTTTGCAGGTGCAAACATCCACTAAAAATTCAAGTCCTTTGTGCATGCTCTTCAAGTAGTCCTGTCCCTGTGCACATGCAAGTCATAGCAGTTTCACCTGCAAACCATTTTTGGCATTTTTGGTGAGTGTTTGAGGAAAACCCCTTCCGGGTATTGGTTCAGGCTCAGTAATAAAATGACAACATGCAGACTTAAAAACCTGAGTGAGCTGTCCTGGGGCTCAAAGACAAACCTTTCATTCAGGTGCTTACTGAACACAAGAGGCCCCACAGAGCTCCTCTACCAAAACATGGCTCCAGTCGTTATATTTTCATTCCACATGAAGAGGTAAATATTTCTCCAGCCCCCTTGCCTGGCACTGTGATCGCTGATTAATGACTATGGCAAAAGTCAGTCTTCTTTTTGGATAGTGTTTTGATTCATTAGATGTCTGATTGCCCTATATATATCTGGGGCGGATCCTCCCTGGGCTGCCTTGCTTTATGATGTTTCATCAGGAGGCCATAGAAACCTGTGATTGCTCCATTGTTCTCTTTCTAAATAACTTGAGTTGAAGCCACTTAGTTATCAGGAGTAATCAGACTGTGTTGGATCTTCTGAGTGTTTGGATGTGGCCGCTGGGACCCCGACTGTCTCTGTTAGTCAGACTAAGAGCTCTCATGGTTGCCTCATTTGTCCAGAGGTCTGTCTCTGCGGAAGGCTTGAAGAGTTGTATTTTTCCCCTCTCATGCTGGCCTCCCACACCTCCCTTCACAGCTCTCTGGTGGGCAGACAGCTACGATTTCTTAAAGTGAGGAGGTGCATAGGCGTGGAAAGCTTGCGAAGTGCTCTCAGTATTTTACAGTGCTGTGATGTTTTCCATACACATGGCTTGAGTAAAGCTCACCTCTCTTTAATGGTGGCTGTACTTCAGAGATGGGCAAAATGATCCCAGTGGGGTGTGTGTGTAGTTAAGCATTTGGAGCTCCTTCAGGATGAAAGGGGATTATGTATCAACCAGGCTCAAACCAGATTAGGCTGTGACAATGCTGGTTGACCAGGGAACAAGCTAGAACACCTGGAAGAGCAAACTTCAGGTCAATTGATTCGAGGGTTGTTTGCCTGCCTTTTGTTACGTAGCTTAGCAAACAAGAAGGATTTGCTGGATCACATCTGCTTCTGGAGGCTCCGGCACGAATTCTTTTTATAATCTGTGCCTGGCCCTGAGGCTGTGGACTGCTCTTCCGATCTGAGGCCCAAAATGTTTTTGACTTGGCAGAAAATAACGGGCTATTTTCAGAGGTGATGTCAGTTTGGAGCTGGTGTGAGTTGCACATTGTTAAGTCTGTGTGAATTAAATGCTAAGGGAAGAGGAGGTTGGAGCAGGAAGAGCAACCAACAGAGGACTATGAGATAAAGCAAGGAGGTCTTGAATCTTCCAGCCTCTAACACCCTCCTGTTGGTTGGTTCAGTGCTTAAATGCTCTTGTGGTATAGTAGGGCAGATGCTATAAAAATATCTAAGACAGAATCAACCCAGCTTCTTCTCCCTCTGCAGGTAAATTACACTAACTTACTGATAGGTACCTTCGTTGCGTGTGTTCACTCTGAAATTGGCCTTGAAAAAAGGGAAGGAACAAACCCCTGTGGAACAAAATGTCAGCCAAAGCAAAAATCCGTCTGTGTTCAGTGCTTCATAAAATCATAGCTTTGAAACATGCCTGGCTTACTTCGGGTCCTTTTAGTTCAAGGGGAGATGAAAGAGACACAGAAAATTATTCAGTGGAAAAAAATAAAACTGAGGTTCCTTGGAAGCAAAGAAAAATCTCAAGCCCTCTACAGCATTCTGGCATGTGTTGCCTCATAAAATATATACCTAATGTGTGTTAGGTACTATTGAGTAAAATAAATCCTCAGATTTAAAAGCAGAAACAAGCAAAACTAAGAGCGCTAAGCCATTTTTTGTATGTCTAAAGGGGACTGGATGTTTTCACTGAAGTCTCATTGAATTGATGGAATGGTTGTGTACCATTGTATCCAAGCTGAAGTCTGTTGCAGAGGGCAGGCGAGAGAGATCCCTAATGCAGCTTCGTATCTGGAGTCTGGGAGCTGTGGCTATGCTGTGCCTGGTCCCCTGACGAGCATTAGATCCTTGTCAGTTTGCACAGCTGTTAAATGGATCTGTGCTCAAAGTAATTCAGGTGCTGATGGACGAGGGCTGTAAGTTGGCTCTGCAGTATTTTGGTAGCCACAGCTTGGTGTTCGAGCCTGGCAGGGATGAGCCTATGATAAGAAATGTCTGTTTAGAGCTTAACTGCTCAGGGGAAAGGTAAAATCTACTACTCACCTTACCCACCCCATAGAAAGAGTCCTGTCTAAATGCTTTCTGCTGGGAAGAGATGGTTTCTTTCCTCCAGAGGGGAACTTTCTGGTAGCTGTCATGGATATGATGGTTCATCTACAATTAATACCCCAAACGAAACCCTGTCCTATTGAGCTGGAGTTCTCTCTCTTTACTTTCATGGCTGCCTCTTGACTACTTGGTGCCAGCTAGGACTAGACCCAGATGTGCCAAAATCAGAGCCTGTCTTGCATATTTTTACAGGAAGTGTGAGAATTCCTGAAGGAACCAGAGAGTGCCATTTTCTTCAGCTCCGCTAGGTGGCTGCCACTCACTCCTCTCCCCCACTGCTACACCTTCTGTCCTCTTCCTTTTTTAAAAGGTGGGAGAAGAGGCTCACATTTACTTCTGTCGCTTCCAGGCACAGAGGTTTGGCTGGGGCCAACTCCTCTAGGGGTACATCTACACTACAGGGGGGAGTCGATTTAAGATACGCAAATTCAGCTACGTGAATAGCGTAGCTGAATTCGACGTATCGCAGCCGACTTACCCCGTTGTGAGGACGGCGGCAAAATCGACTTCTGTGGCTTTTTGTCGGCGGCGCTTACTACCACCTCCACTGGTGGAGTTAGAGCGCCAATTCGGGGATCGATTGTCGCGTCCCGATGGGACAATTCTTGTGGCTAGAATACCACAAGCTAAGCTGGGCTTGGGAGGTTTGCACAAATAAGTGTGGCTGACCTTTGAGTAATTAGCATGATACATCCCATTTTGACCAGGACAGTCCCTTCTTTAAGCCCTGTCCTAGCCGTCTCGACTTTTTTCCCAAAAGTAGGCGTTTGCCCCGTTTCCTTTTGTTGATGTAATCAGTTGGCAAGAGCAAACAGGAGAAATGTCCACTTTGGTCAAAATGTGGAGTGCTGGTGGGGGAGGAGCGGGCCAAGAGGCAAGCAAGCAATGACAGCCTCATGCGGGAGCAAGAGGACCAGACAGGGCTGGAGCAAACAGTGATGGCCTTGTGCAGCGACAACCTTGCACAAGTGTCAGGGAGGGCCTGGGCGACCCCAGCCCCACAGGGGGAGAGGACTCGAGCCAGACCTGCGCAGTGTCCCATTTTCCCTTTGGGAAATACAGTCACCCTATCTTTGGGCACTTACCCCACTGCACCTCTCAACTTTGCTAGGTGGGGGAAAGAAGTAAGAGTTACCACAGGGATGAAGTGGTTAGAGTTGACGGATGCAGGAGAGCACTGCCGACCTCTGAGCCATACAGGTGTGTCTCACCCATCCTGTGCTCCTTTTCTACCCCTTACTGGCCCCAGTGGTTACAACAGATGGAAAGGGGAAGGGAACTCTCACAGCACCAATCCAGGAGGAGGGAGAGCTGTGAGGGAGCACTGTTTGCCCAAGTTGGGGAGAGGGAGGGGCAGCCCCCCTTTGCTTTTAGCAAGGGAGGAGTTGTGTTCTCGCCTCACCGTACCCCCTTGTCCGTGCATTCGGGAGCATGTGATGCATTCCAAGACGTGACAGCTGGTGATGAAGGTGTCTCGAGTGCAGCTGTAGGTCCAAAGCCCTGAATTTCCACCTCACGTGACCGCGGAGTTCATTGGAAGGTGAGCTCATTTCTGCTACAAAAAATAAAGTAGACAAAATTATCAAAAAGAATATCCCTATCAATTGTTATCAAGTAACAATTCCGATCTCTGCTGTCTCTCCTGAACAGCACTGGCTCTCCTCTCCCCTCCAGGGGCCTGGAGCACTCGATGGGAGCCTGACTGCCTGCTCAGAATATCAGCTCCCTGGTTGGTAGAGGCAGAACGGCACCATGTCCTACTGAAACCTTTGAAATAACTCTGAATGGATTTTACTGCATGTACAATACTGTTCTGTTCATAACAATGCATCTGCTGCCCTCTGCTCTCTGTTCTTGGGTTCATTAGCTTGTCTAATATCCTGGGATGCGGAAACTAACGTCGTGGATGCTGAAATCAGAGGAGATGTCTCTATCGTTCAGTATCACTGTAAGCATAACTCATGCACGCTGCTGCAAAGGCTTCCATTGCCGCTGCCAGCTCATGGTAATGAAGACAGCAGCCAGCACTGAGACATCAGGATTGCTAATCAGAGCTCAGGCATCCTTCTGGGTGAGCCTGACAGAAAGAACACTGCTAGAGGAGACTTGCGCACGCCCTGGGCTGGATCCGAGAGTCCTTTTTCTGGCAAACTCTCGTTAACTTCAACAGGCCTGCATGAGGGCTGAGTAAAAACTGAGTAGGGACCCGAGGAGGTGGCTCTGTGAATGTGCGTGCGTGTGCATGCATCTCCCCTCTCTGTTTAGGAAGATGTTGAATGTTTAGGCTATTGAAAAATGTTTGGCACACGTAAAGGACATCCCCATGAAGTCTGTGCATTGTTGGCCTGATCCAGCTACCATGGAAATCAGTGAGACTTTTTCTACTGTCTTTCATGGGAGTTGTTGGATCAGAACCTGTCTCTCTAAATGGACATGGTTATATTTGATTATTCTTTATTTATTATTTATATCTTGGTAGCAGCTAGAGGCTCCAACTGAAATTGTGGGATCCTGTTGTGCTAGGCGATGTACGTACACAACAGAAAGACAGACCCTGCCCTGAAGAGCTTTGCAGTCTTAAGTATCTTTGTCCCATTCTGTGAATAAATAAATCCCTGTGCATGTCCCTGTATGTGTTTCTATTAGTTGAACAATGGGAAAGCTAGCCAGTCAGTTCCAGTTACAGAAAGGGTGGCTGACGTTTAAAGGAGCAAAAATAATTCCATCTCAGCTCTTAAGCTGTCTGGTGGGGCAAAGACCTCTAGACTTGATTGAGCTATTCAATGGGGAAGCTCGGTGTGGGTGGGTGGGTGTGTTTGTGTTGAATTCATTGCCAACCAGGATACATTTTTAAAGCGGTCTCTATTTTTGTGAGACCTATAACATCAGTGTTTTGTGTGTCCTGCTGCAGCCGTTGTGGATTCTCAGAGCTGTGCTTGATGGTGCACAACCCGAGATGTCATATTGCATAGGGTGCTGGAGTGTCTGTCAGTCCTATGTCCTTGAATGTTTACTAAGTGCTAGGGAGTGCTTTATAAATAATTTTGATCATTGTTCATTTCAGCCCCGTTCAAAAAATTAAGGGGATGGAGGGGAGGAAGGGGGAAATGTTCCTTAAATTAAACAGGACTGAATTGGCAAGGAAAGAAATGCTTGTAAGCATCTAAATGCATGTTACAGGGGAGAGTGAGTAAATATAAAATGCCCATAAACCTCATGGGGCCCTTTTAATGATGGTGATGAGACAGATGCACGCCTTCCCAGCATGCAACATTTTGTTATCGATGGCATTGCATGCTGCATTTCAACACTGTGGAAGCCTGACTTGGCCAAATGAGTTTGGAAGGGAAAGCAGTTTGCTAGACTGCGATGGCCTTGCAGCGCCATGTGATCCTGTTCATAAGCTTTCTGGAGAAGTAAATGGGATTTGGATACGGAGTGTGTGACGTGGTGGAGTGTACAATGTCTCTCACCATTTGAGCCCATCTGTCCAGTCGTCTTATCTGTTAACTTTTAGCATGTCCTATGAAGCTTCAGGAGAAGGCATTAAACTTCAGTAGTTGTGGTCCTAGGTTGAGAAGGTCAAGTGAAATGGAAGCCAGTTGTCTGAGGTGGGGATAAGAGCAGGTGGGTTCTTAACTGCAGGATGCCAGGACTAGGTTGGGAAAGGAGCTTACTGCAGGTGTCCTAAGAAACAAAATGATGATACAACAATGATATCATGTCATCTCGGTGTTTGTCTTCATTGTGAAATAAGGTTACTCATGTATTGTTACATTGCCATGGAAAAAGGTTAGGCCTCTTTAATGGTCAATCCAGTTGGTAGGATAGGCCCATGAAAAATTTTGACTATCTGATAGCCTGGCTTTTGTTACCTGAAAATATCTGAAATGTGAAGGCAAAGTCTCCAAGACTCCAGATAGGTTAGAAATGGGGGAGATGGAGGTCTTCTGCATTAAAACCAAGACCTTCAACAATGGGTGCCTGAAGTCAGGCTTCCAAGGCTGAGACTTTCAAATCTGAATGGAAATTGGACATCCCTTAAGCAGCTTTGAAATTCTCAGCCCTAGGTCTGTATTCAGGTACTGAAATAGGTGCCTGGTTTTTGTAAATGATGAGCACGCAGCAGCTCCTGTTGACTTTGAATAGACTCATAAGCACTATGGGATGCACAGTACTTTTTTTTTTGGAAGACCCGAATGCTTAATTAGGTGCCTAAATAGAGACTGAGCAATACCTGTAGACACCCATTTGTAAAACATCTTGGACTAAGGTGCAAGTAATGAGGAGGGAACTTCCCACCAAGCTCCTTTCACTGGATATCTTTCTGTACTAACCAATGGTGTAAATCTGACCAAGTTAGAGGGGATTTTAATCAGCCAGAATCTCAAGCACATTTCCAAATAAAACCCTCCGTATTCAATCAAGTGTGACTGAACAAGTCACCAGGGAGAGCTAAAGCTATTAACAAGTACTAGGAACAATTAGAGCAGAGGCTAGTGGACTTACCTTCATCTCCCTCCCTCACTGTTATATTTAAATACAATTTCTTCCTTTTTCTCCTTGCTGCAATCTTTCCTCTCCTGGTGGGATACTAATAGCAGCCAAACTTTCCCAAAGGGGGGAGTTCTAAAGACAAGTGCGTGATACTGAGAGCTGCTGGGATACTTAAAGCAATCGAAATCGGTTAAAACTGAGGTGTTGGTTTTAGATTATTGAGACTAGAAAAATCAGCCACCGTTTGTTTTAAGGGTAGTTTCTAAAGGCTCAGTTGTTAGAGACTGACAGCTCAGTAATCTAGAACAGGTACTGCTCATGTCTGTAACATGCTTATAATATTTAGTAGTCATTTATTAACCCTTTAGAAATATGCTCTTAAATATAAAGTGTGACTGAAATCTTAGAGCAGGAATAAATTATTGTACGTAAAAGCTGAGCCTGAGGGAGATTTGAATGGGCTTCACCTGCTGGAAAGCAGTGTTCAGAGAGGTCTTTCTGTGCCACTGGCCAGTCCGGGGCACATGGTTCTTCAGAAATACTCAAGCTTCTGGAGTGAGCAGGAGTGAGACTGAAGAGGGGAGTGCAGAGCTGAACACCTCATTACTTAGGGTGCTGAGAATCCTACTCAAGCACAGACCTCTTTAGATGCCCATACTCCAGCCTTGCTCTTTTTTAGCCAGCTTGGAAGACAAGGAGTGCTGAAAACTACTTTTCTGTAACGTACCTAAGCTTGGAAGGAATGGATTTTTATCAGTACATCGGTCAACTTCACCAAACCCACCCAAACTGATCAAAAAACAGTTCCTTTCATAATCATTGAAATGTTCAGAAAGGCAAAGTAAGAAAAATGCTGCTTGAGAACTTCTTAGTTTCACGTAAAGATATTTACTTTGTATATTTTGATATGTGATGTTGACAATTTGTGTTTTAACGGGCTTTAAATTTTTGAATCTCAATATCAGCTGTCATTGATTATTATTTGATCCCCTTATTGTTTGACCCCCCCAAAATTTCTCACAACTGTGAAACTTTAAATCCATAAAAATTTAGAAATAAACATTGATATTATCTGTTGAAATTATTTCAAAAAAATTGAATTTTGCCAAGCCTAAATATACCAGATGGAAACAGAACCAGCAGCTGCAGTGAAAACTTCCCCTAGGCCACTCTGCGAATGTGACTCATGGCTGATAACGAGAGCTGATTTGTAGGGGAGAGAGGGTTGTTTGTAAGTGCATCTGCCACACAAATGACCATCACCCAAGCCTCTGTGTGCCCTGGCAAGTCTAAGACAAAGACGTGAATGTTGGTAATTCATAGCTTTGCATCAGTGCTGATAACTCATAGCCTCAGACCCCCCACCCACACCCACACCCAACCTGTAACTTTAGGTGGCTTAAGATTGAGTTCTGACACCAGTTGCCAGCCTGCAAGAATAAAGGTCTCACCCTGGCTTCCACCCACCTATGACTCCTTGCAGGGTGAACGCCAACAGCCCTTCTGCTCCTGAGGCCCCGCCCCCTTACCCCACAAATCCATCTCCCTGAGTTCTTAACTACCAGATACTCGGACTTTTCCCTTATGGTTCATCACACTCGAAGGAGTGAAACCTGTCCTAGTTATCAGTTCACTTTGGGGGATACACGCCATACAGTTTGCACAATAGAAGCCAGCTAGTGGTAAAAAAAAAAATAAACAAAAAGTTTATTTAATAGAAAAATCATAGATTCAGAGATGAAAGAGTAAGGAAAAGCAAACATGTACATTTTACACAGAAAATAAACATGAAGATGCATCCTCAGGCTTTATACTTCTATGTTAGCTAAATTCCCTTTTCTTATACAAGTTACCTGTTGCCTCTGAACAAGTTCCTAGCATGCCCTCAGTCCTAGAGGGGAGCCAGTCTTTCATGGACAGCACCCTTCTAACAGGCTGGCCCTCAGTTTCTGGCTCATCTTAGTGGCTTATTCAGACTTTGGCATCTGTGCTGGCATTCCCAACAAGGGGGCTAGGTGGTGCTTTTTGAGGTAGTTTGTATGGCATGGACACGTCTTCTTGAGGAGCTGGACAAAGATCTCCCAGTTCATGGACCCCGAAATGTCCATCAGATGATATAAAAATTTGATCCCTATGGGCCTGGACTGTACCTGTTCTACAGAAGACCCCATTCTCCAAGATTGTTAACAGAGCAACTTTAATCATCACTAAATATTTTCCCTTCTTCATCTCACCCAAAATGTTTTTTTTAATTAATTTGGCAACGCACGAAATTGTAGGGTAGAGCACTTTTGTGGGCAGGTGTATAATAAAGTTGAGGCACGTATCATTGGCATTCCAAATCTAGATATGGATCCAGAATGTTCTGGGATGTTTGGATCCAGGATTTTTGTTGTATTCATTATTCAGTTATGGATTTTCAACAGCTGCAAAAGTTTTTGTGGGGTTCAGATTAGGAATTTATCGTTAGGGCCATCTCTTCCACCGTAAGCAACGACTGTCACTCCACCATGTCTCTGAAAATAACTTGCAGCTGTCTCCAGTATCTACTCATCTTTCTCCGAGGGAGAATGTCCCTGTGCAATCTGGAAACCCACAGGTTCTTAAACATGATTCCGTCTTTGCTGGGGAGTTTAAAGAAATATGCCACCTGCATTTGTCATGCCATTTCATTGCTCGCTTCTCCTAGGGAGTGTCTATTCATGAGTTAAAATTTGAACTGTGTGTTTAGAGCCGCCAAGCCTATTAGTCACAGTACCGATACTACAGAAGCACATTGCTCTTCTGGTTTGCATCATGATTTTGGAACACCTTTGCATACCTGCGGCGAAAGGTGTGGTGTGTCAACTTTAATCATTAGAACCTAACACAGTGCGGATATGTTTGGGAAAGCTGTTAATGGAGGTCAGCCGAAAGTGCTATTCATCTGGTCAGAAAATACTGGTCTTGTTTGACTTCTCATGCTGAATTATGCCTCATGTATATAATAATAACGCCATGTTTAGCAACTCTCCGCAGTCCACACCCTAGTTTAATGGAGCTGAGTCTCCTTTAAGGAAATTAAATATGGGATCTTTAGGAGGTCAACTCTGTGGGTTTGTCTAGAGAGAAGAAAATTTTCACATGGTGCAATTGATGTAGCTATACTGTTGCAATCCTGTGTTGTGGACAATGTTGCACCAGTGCAAAACATGGATTGCACACGTGCAGTGTATCTATACTAGGGATTTGCACTGGTGCAGCCACTCCAATGTAGTTAGTGCTTAAAGTGGGCTAGGACAGAGCAAATAAAATTTCTCAAGCTCTGGCCAGGTTGCTGAGGGGCAGGGGCACACGTTTCAGCCCTGGCTGCTTTCCCCACTGCCCCGCCGCCTGGGGTCGAGCAGTCGATCGGAGCTGCTGCGGAGGCAGGCAGAGTTCTCCCCTCTCCCAGTCCCACCCTTAAGGAGGACAGAACGGGCGTGGTGAAGAGGCCTAGAAGTGCAGGAGGAACTGAGTTGAGGCTGGGGTGCAGAATTGATGTGGTGATTGGGGGAGAGGCAGTTGTGATGTTACTTCAATTTCTTTAGGAAATAATAGACACCCTCTTCCCCCCCCCCCGGCGCACACACTTTTTTCAGTCCACTTTAAGCACTGAATGTAGTTAGACGGGTGCAAATTTCCCTAATCTGGACAAGCCAATATTTCCTTTGTATTCTGGGATCCTTTACAGCTACTTCACATTCAGATGCTTAATGACCCAGGCTTACGGATCACATGGCTGGTTCTTCAGTTTTATGCATACTTTGGCAGATTATAGATTTATCAGTGGCAACTAATCTTGTACAGAACCGTGGCCTAATTCCTTTTGTTAACTTATTTAAAGAGAGAGAGAAAGAAGTAAGGTCATTATTAGACCTATTAAAACAAACATTACTCACTCAATGGTCTGTGCCACTGGGCTAAATGTGTAATTAGTGGCTTCGTTCAAACACAATTAAAGGCAGTCACATGTACTGCTTAGTCAAAGGACGTCCTGGCCTACTGAATTCTGATGTGATGTGTGAGATCAGGAATAAAAACAGTATGAAGATGTTAATGTAAACCTGTTGAGGTGCGCTAGAGAAAATTGCAATGCCTTGTTGCCTTTTAAATATTTTAGAGTCCAATAATGAAGCCCTTACTGTTTGCATTGTGTGTTGTGCCTGTTT